CACTTCATCACGGAGCAGGGTTTGTCTTTCGGGAATTGGGGAACCCAGCACCTGGGGCTTATGCTTTTAGTGACCCCAGCCCCTGTCCTCACCTTTTTCCCCACTCATTGCCTGCAGCCACCTTGGAGCCCTGTGCACAGGAAGGAGCAGCTTGTGCCACCGTCTCGTGCCCAGATGGAGATGGAGCACATCCCTTCTGCCATTGGAAGCCTGGCTTGTGAGCTTCTGCTCAGTTTCAAAAAAAAAAAAGAAAAATACCTGAAAGAAATGCATTGCAGCCTATTTCTGAAGGCTTGAAAGGGGCAAGGCGCTGGTCCAGCTCTGGGATACCCCCCGAGGCAACATTTAGTACCTGGGGACATCTTCCCGTGCCGCCTGTTGCCCCCCATGGCAGTGCCCTGCTCGGTGCCAGGCCAGCCCTCCGTGAAACCTCCCGGCAGGGTGCAGAGAGCATCCCCTCCTCGCCGCCACGGTTTGCACCCTGCCCGGCCGGGTTACCGCTGCCGTGGCTCGCCTCGTCCCCGCCGCCTTCGGGTGCCGCGTGGTGTTTCTGAGAGATGCTGCGCTGTCTGCTCCCGTTTTATGTGCTGCCAGAGCTTATCAACGTGCTGCTCGGTACATCAACAGATCGACACTGAGCAAACAGAGAGCTAACAGGGAATGATTTATCCGGGACGCCGTGTCTGTGTGTCCAGCAAGGCGAGATGTCCTGCAAACAAAATTCAGTATTTACCAAAGGCTTATCAGAAGAGCTGGTATTTCGTGCCACAGCTGAATCATGCTAGTATTTCGCTCTTTCTGGGTGTTGCTCGTTTAATCATAGGATGCTTTCCTTTTAATTAGTCACTGCTGTTACTGATGAGAGAATTAGCAGACTCTTAATGGAGAAGCTGAGGCTGTGTCACATGTGCTGTGATTGGGGTGCTGGGCAGATGGCTTTGTGCTGCAAACAAACCCCAGGGTCTGCACCTCGGGCTCTGCTTCTCTGCAAAATGCCCTTTTCCAGGGGGGCTCCTGGAGGGGCTCGTTTTCTAGATACATCCTTTAGGCAAAGGAAGGATGCTACCTTCCCCCGGCTGCCGCGTTGTGGCCCTCGGGGGGGAAAAGTTAGCTTGATTTTACTGGCTCTTTTCTTCCATGCCCAGCAAGGACCTGTGGGGCTGGTTGTGTGCCAGAAGTTGGTGACTCTCCCAGGTATGCTATGTCTAGGGTTGGTTGGTATTGGTTTGATTAGACAGTTATTGTCAGAAAATGGCATTTTATCAAACTTGAAGCTGTTGGTGGGAGGGGAGCGGTTTCAGTGAACTGGCTTTGAAAAAAGATTTTATGGAGATACATTGTCTGAGATATTTGAAACATCCATTTGAACAGCTGGGGAACAAAAAGTTCCATGTTCTTCTTCAAGCTGACTGTTATTTATGTTTTTTAATTTCAGTTGATTTACAGTACAGAGCAAATGGATAAGGGAATAGAGACTGAAATGGAGGGGAGAGCTCTCAAAATTTTGGGCACGAAGTGTTTCAATTTGCGAATTCTGAAACTCTGCGTTCCTCTTTGGGATGGGATGGCAATTTCAATTCCCATGGGAGAGAAAAGCCACTTTCCTGCTGTATTGTGAGGATGTCTAAGGAAAGATCTCTCAGACATGTTTGTGATTTCTCTAGGGCAGAAGCCTCTTATAAACAGTTTTATCATGTATATGAATCCATAGCTGCCTGGAAATCCCGTAGCTGGCATTCTGAGAAGTGTCTGAATCCCCACGGCCTGGCTGCAGTCCCCTTGGGCAGGTTCATGGTCTCAGCCCACCTCTGTTTTTATAAATAATTCCCGGCGGTGCTCGTGGCAGGGGTCCGGGATGGTGCCCCATGGACTGGGTGCGGCGAGGCGTCCCTTGAAAGGGACATGGAGCTGTTGCAGGGGGCTCACGAGCTGCCCTGGGGACCCCCGAGTGGGAGCGAGGGGCTGGGGGGCAGCTCCCCACAGCCGGCTGCAAAAATCCTCCGAGTAATTCGCATTGCCCTGTCTCAGTTGTTGAGGGGTGTGTTGTTGTCTGAAGCAAAACAGCTCTTCCATTCCCGCTGGGTCTGGCTGTGGTGTGCTTCCAGCAGATGCTCGCCTTGCCCTCCCCTGGCAGGGCTCCAGGCTGCCCCGAGACCCTCCTCTCCTCCTGGCTGGGGGAAAGGGAAGCTTTCCCTTTCTCTTTCAACCCATTCTGGCCGTTAATCTTACATTTTTAGATGTTAATTCTCTTGTCTGGTTCAGAAGATCCCACTCTTCATTTTTATTATGGGTATCCAACGCCTCAAATATTAAAACTCATTCCCTGCGAGGGATGTGGAAACGGAGGAGGAGCAGGGGCCGGGTGGCTTTTTTGGTGTGAAGCAAGGGGAGAGCAGGGATGAATGCGGCGCGGGTGCAGAGCATCACCGTGCTGCACGGGCTGACCCGTAGCCCTCCCGTGCCAGCGCCAGGGGTATCTGGGGCTCTCGTGAGCCAGGCGGGCAGGGAGGGACGTTTTGTGGGCTGGGGGGTCGTGGTCCTTCCAGTGGGTGCTGGGGGTCCTGGGAGAGTTGCAGCGTAAGCTCTGCTCCCCCCATGGCTCCCCGCGTCACTCAGCTGTGCCCGGCCAGCGTCTCCCGTCTGGGTTTACACATCCCAGTATCATCTCCAGCCAGAAGATGCTCGTGAGGTGCAAAGTTTCATTAATCCACGGTATTAACACGACATCCCTGCTGTGGCCTGTCGGGTTTTCCGTGTCAGCCCCTGCGGGGAAGGGATGCCGTGGGAGATGCTGGGCGCTGCCCTTGCTCCTGCAGCGAGAGATTTAACCAGGCTGCGCCTCCGGGGCGGGTTCGATTTGGCAGGCGGTCACCGAGGGGGGAAGAGGGTGGAAATCAGCCACTGGGGCCCGGGTTAGTGGAGCTGATGGATGGGAAGATAAACTTCCAGGAACGTGTTTCCTTTCCAGCAGTATTGCTGCGGGAGCGATAACAGCACAGCTTGCCTCAGCACCGGGGCGCTCGTGAATGAGTTGGCATTTTTTTTTTTGTGACTAATGTAGGCTTTCAGCTATCTGAAATTGTCCTGAGGTGCAGCTTGAGATGGAAGTTCTCAACGTATTTATTACTTTGTGTCTGCATGTTCCCACAGGTACAGGATTTTGAACCAGGGCTGCGTTTAATATCAGGAGCTGGAACATTTGTAGTTTAGCTCTCAGTCAGCGAGGAGGCTGTTTGGGCTGTATGTCCAGTGTGTTTGGCAAACTTTAGTGGAGGAATCCATTCCTCAGTGAAGATGTTTGAGGTCTAAGAAGCGTTCAATGCCACTTCTTTTATTTTTTTATTACTTTCCAGTGCTGCTGTTTTCCCCCTTTGCTATCCAGAGACCGTTGCTGTGTCATCACAAGCTCCCACTGGTATCAGTGCAAGTCCCCAGGGATTACACTACAGCGCTGGCATAATACCATACCAGTTTGGGTCCCCATCAACCATCGCACGGGGTTGGAGGAACTTGAGCTGCAAGGGCTTGGCCAGCTGTGCCTGGAGACTTCAGCCCTGAGAAAGAGAGAGTTGAATGCCCACGTGGATTTATCTGTCTGTTTGCCAGTGTATATCTGCAAAGCCTTTGGTTGCTGTAGTTTCTTGAGGCTCTGAAATACAGTTGATCAAGTGTTGACCTTGCCCCTGAGCCGTCCCCTCTCTTGGCTCCTGCAGCGTTGGATTGGGTTTGGGTCATCTCATGTCAAACTCTGCAGCTCGTGCCGCAGCGTGTGCTGTGGTGTGGTAGCTCCTGTGTGTGTAGGAAGTTTTTTGCCAGCCGTGAAGGTGTTGCATGTGGGTGGTGGGAGCAGTCAACAGCACATGTTGCACATTGGCTTCTGCTCATGGTGTAGCTGCTATGAACTTGCACATCTGGCCATAACGGACCACAGTGTTCAGGCATCTAAAGCCGTGGGTGGTTACGTGTGGGGATTTAGCGCAGTATCCGAGTGAGCTGAGTGCTGAACCAGCCCTAAGAGGAATCCAGCACCCGGCATGTGTGAGGTGTTTAGTGAACTGTGCCAGCCCACTGCCCTGCGGGCACCACGGCGTTGCCAACTCGACCCCGCAGCCATCTGCCAGCAGGATGTTGGCTCCTGCTCCTAACGAAACCTTGAAGTAGAAGCGTGCTGTTGCCGTGTGTTGGGGTTAAATGGGGAGAAGGGATCTGATACTGCAGATTTGGCTCCTGTCTTCGCCACTGACTGATCCTAAACAGACTACACCACCGGTTTTTTGTCTTCTGCCATATGTTTTGCAATAATGCCCGCCCACCCGTCGGGGAAAGCACAGTGCTGGGTGTCTGCAGACATTGTTGGGAACCCTCTGTGAAATATGCTAGAAAAACATGAAAGGTATTAATTCAGGTCTAAGATTATGGGAAGTCTGTTTGTTAGGGTTTTTTCGTACCTCTATATTTAGAAAGCCTGTCTGAATTGCCAGGATCGGGCCCTTCCTCAGTCACACTATTCAGGGCTTCCTGATAATGAGGTTTTTTGAGCCATTCCAGTTATAGCACCTCAAATCTTTGCATTTGAACATCTTACCTTAAATCTTTTGATGAGATACTAAATAAAGAGGCCCTAAAAGGAGGTTTATGTGAGAAAACAGTCTGACTTTCCCTTCTGCATAAGGCGAGTTGGTTTGGGGGATGTGGAAGCGTTAAGGCTCGGTGCACGCCACTGCTACAGCAACCTGCTGAGGTGGTACTAAAGCTGCGATTTACATAAAGTCCATGTCTGGATTTACCTGCTTGATTTACAACGGGTGTATAAACCTTAAATACTCTGATAGTATTTTTCTTCTTCCTCCTGGGCTTTAATGAGCTATCGTCATTTTCTCACTATACCATTAGTACTGGTATTCCTACGCCTGTGACATTGGAGCTTGTTGTATTTCCAGGTGTAATTTTGGATATGGAGCTGTGCTGCTTACTGTCTCCCTTTCCTCTTCTTTCCCCAGCCGGAGGAGCTTACCAATGCCCTGGAGATCAGCAACATAGTCTTCACAAGCCTCTTTGCCTTGGAGATGCTGTTGAAAGTTCTTGTTTATGGTCCTTTTGGCTACATTAAGAATCCATACAACATCTTTGATGGGATCATCGTGGTGATTAGGTACAAACCTAGAGCCTTCTTTATGTATGTTTCCCCTCATTTGGCTGTTAAATTAAACAGAAAGTAATGGAGAGTGGGCATAAATACCTTCCTGTGACACTTTATACTTCTCTGTTGTAAATTAATACTCTTGGACATGATTGCTAATATATATCCTGGGATTATTTTATGGTCATTTTAGAGAGAGGACCAAGCAGAAAGCTATCAGTCCCAATGTCCTGGGAAAGTCTGGGATCCAAATGGTACAACCGATGCGCGATTAAGTAGCGCTCTGGTTTTTTGGCAGGAGCAAAGGCTGTAATTGCCCCTGCAGCTGCAGCCACTGATTTGAAGATGTGTTTGTGATGCTCTAGTGGGGCTCTGCTCTTTGCAAGCCTGGATGGAGTCCAGCTCACTGGGGGCATTGGCATTGTGTCTCTGCCCACTTTCTATCTCTCTTCTCTCTGCGTGTCACCTTCCCTTTGCTTCCTCTCCTCTGTGCCTTTGCATTAGGCTTTGTCTTCTCGTCCTGCAATGACCTCTTTTTCTCCTTCAGCGTGTGGGAGATAGTGGGCCAGCAAGGTGGGGGGCTCTCGGTCCTGCGGACCTTTCGGCTCATGCGAGTTTTGAAGCTGGTCCGCTTCATGCCTGCCCTCCAGCGCCAGCTCGTAGTCCTCATGAAGACCATGGACAACGTGGCCACGTTCTGCATGTTGTTGATGCTCTTCATTTTCATCTTTAGGTGAGCACTTCCAATTCCGCGTCCTGAGGTTGCTCTGGGTTTTTAGGTGGGATCCCATGGCGAGGTCAGGAGATGTAAGAGTCCATACCAGGACGTGGCTGAGCAGAATGGCCCCAGGAGCAGCATTGTTAGCCAGCGCTGGCAGCGGCTTGCTGCCCTAAATTCTCTTAACTCTGGCCAAACGAGACATCTGTCTTTGCAAGATGATTTACAAGGGACATATTTCAGCTGGATGATTCCTTGACATCACCCCAAGACAGTGGTCCCATCACTTACCGACTAGCAGAAAGCCCGGTGCTAAAAATATTGCCAAGGAGAGCGCGATGTTCCTAAAATAAAACCAGCCATGATGGTGCTTGTGCTCTTGCATGGCCTCTTCTTCTGAGACGTGGAAATGTTAGAAATGGGCTTGGTGTAGCCCTGAATTTTTGGATTTTGGCCTAGATTTTGAGAAGAGCCTGTCTCCTTGTAACAGCTAACTCTGGTGTTCCAGCAATCCAGGCACTGGGAAGGCTGAAGAAAGCCACTGTCTTCCACAGAATGGTGTCCCTTCTCCCAGTGAGGTGGTTCACTCCAAAACCACCGTTTGCAGCTGTGGTGCTCAGTAAAGCTGCAAATAATTTGATTAGTCAGGTTACTGGCCAAGAGGAGGGGAAAACAAATGATTCTTTTAGTATCAATCTAAAATGAAAGGTATTCTGTTTTCTTGTCAAAGCTGAAAAAGCTGATTTGGGTCCCCTGATATGTCTCATTCAGGCATTTCACAGAAATCCTTTTGTCTTCCTAATTCAGTTTAAGTGTATTTTGCTGAAAATGTGTCATTGCAAAACAGAAAGTCAAAACATTTTGTTTAGAAAATGTTGAAACACAATATTTTGACTTAAAAAAAAAACAAACCAAAGCAGAAGAAAAAGAAGGAACGGGCGTACTTTTCAGTTGAAACTTTTTGAGAGATTTGACCTAAATTCACAACTGATTTGCATGATCTTGAGACGTGTTTTTTCAGTGAAAGAATGATTCATCTTTAAAAAAAAAAAAGAGAGAATTCCCTGAGAGAAATCTGGAGCCAGTCAGGCTTGGTGTGTGATGGCTGGTTTGTACCGTGGTCCTTGTGTTGAGCCCCTGCTCTCCCTCCCGTGCAGCATCCTGGGGATGCACCTCTTCGGCTGTAAGTTTGCTTCAGAGCGAGACGGTGACACGCTGCCCGACAGGAAGAACTTCGACTCCTTGCTCTGGGCCATCGTCACCGTCTTCCAGGTACAAAATGGAAAACACCACAACTCCTGTGTTTTTAGGGGCTGCGAGGGCCGGGGTTGTTTTCCAAAGCATCTGACAGACCTTAGTGAAGCTCCTTGCCGTGGAAGGGAGAGGACCCAAAACCACAAGTGCAGGAGCACAGGGGTTGTCAGACCGTTTTCCAGAATAAATGAGAAAGCTCACGAGGAGGGGCTGCCAAGGCTGGAGGTTCTTGCATTTGCAGGGTGTGGACTGGGTGGGTGAAAGTAAGCATAGAGGGTGGAGATGGTGAGGAGGAGATCAGGACCACGCGCAGTGATGTTTTGACAAAGAACAGAATCTGTTTGCAGCCCGGTAACTGATAAGTGCAGGTTTTTGTTCTAGCAGCTCTGAACTCTGTAACTGTGGGATCTGTGAGGGACTTTCAGCTGTTCTGACTGACCGAAGGAAAGGTCCAGCCCACGCGATGTTGCCCTCGCTTATGGCTGAACACGTCCCTTGGGGGTTGGGGGGTTTGGGTGGGGTCGTTACCGGTAGCATGGGAGTCACGGTCACTTTGGTCCTGTCTCTGCTCTGGCTTAGAAGTTGGCTTGGGCCACATTTATCATCCTGTGGTTCTAGCTATGGTGGATACCCCCAAAGTGGGGTGCTTGTCTGGTCCATCCAGAGTGCAGATACCTGGACAGGGTCAGGCAAAACAGCATTCTATTCTACAGTATCTCCATTTTCCTGATACCCTTCCTCTGCAGATTTTGACCCAGGAAGACTGGAACAAGGTCCTTTACAACGGCATGGCATCGACCTCCTCCTGGGCTGCTCTCTACTTCATCGCTCTCATGACGTTTGGGAACTATGTTCTCTTTAACCTGCTGGTGGCCATCCTGGTAGAGGGTTTCCAGACAGAGGTAATGTCCTCGTGCTCCTGCCTTTGCTTTCTTCTAAAGTTTCAGGGCCTCCAGATCCTGGAAATTGGTTTCTGAGATGGACAACAATACGTTTATAAGAGTGGTACTTGAAAAAAGTGGGGGAAAATATTAGATCTTCTTTCTTTTTTTTATTTTTTCCTTTCGTCTTTTTCTTAGCCACGGTGCAATTTAATACAGAAAGCCCTCTAAACGAAAGGCTTAAATGAAAAGCGTTGTTAGCATTAATACAGGAGTGGGAATTCAGCGGTGAGTCAGGCACTGCGGATGGGATCGCTGCTATCATGGTGTCTTTGCAACAGCTCTCACCGTGTCTGTCAGCCAGATTAAAAGCCCTTCCTGAAAACTTACGCAGGCTGGTAAGAGATTAGTGACAAGATGATTTTTTTCGATGGTATGCGTTCGTGGAGCTCTTCCCGTTTCCAGCCCTGCACTGCTCTGCACACTTTAAAGTCCGTGATTTCTGGTCTCTGCTGGCTGCTTCCTCGGGCTGCGAACTTCCATGAGACATCCTGGATTGCCAGAGGCTTTCGTGGAAGGGCTGGGGGGGGCACTTAGGTTTGAACTCAAGGCTTTTTTTCATCCTCCGCCCTTCCCAACTGTCCAACTCGGAGCAAGTGAGCATGTCACCTAGTGCCCAGAGTGGGGGACCTGCGATGCCCACCCACCCTCTGCAAAAATTGTCCGTCTGTCCAAGAACATCAGTAAGGGGAGGGGACCTTTACACCCTGCCCAGGGGGTTGGAGAGGTAAATATAATCTAAAACTGCTCACTGGGGTCTGCTTGTATAGGCTGTGCTTTTACATGCTGTCTCTGATTCTTATAAGCATTCTGAGGTGGTTAAATATTATTTAAGGTTTGTTGCTTGTGTATCATAATATCCTACCGCTCTATGAATAGCTATGCACGGAACCATTTTTATTATTATCATCATTTTCAGAGCACACTTTAGAGTTAAATTAATGGAGTCATACCAGGAGATAGCAAGGAGAAATGTTTTTTTATTGTGGTGTATCGTCTCTCTCCGTGTTGGTGCTTTTTCAATTGTTGTTGTCGTAGCTGTTTCTGTCTGTAAATCCCCCCCACCGTTCAGCCGAAGGGAAGGTCACTGCCAGGTTCTCCCGAGTAGCACAGTGTTCCTTTGCCAGAGCGAGGAGAGGCAAAAAGCTCCTTGTCTGCTTGTGATGACGGCTTCGAAACCGAACCTTTGTCTGCTCAGTCTAGCAAATTGATTCTCTGAAGGTCACCGAAGCGGGAGCTCACCTGCTGCACCCGCTTCTCAGAAAAAAGGACGCAGCCTTTAAATGCAGCAGCCCCTCTGCCAACCCCTGGTCCTCGAGGGAGGCTGACACCTCTGGTCCTTGGCTCAGCCTGGGTTTTCGTGCTAGAGCATCCCCGTGCACGCTCCCGCTCCCGCACGCCCGGTTCCTGTTCCCTGGGCAGCGGTGCATCCTGCGCTTGCTTGGCAGCCAGCTGGTACCACGGCGCAACTCCTTGTACATTCATGCCCTGGCTTAATGCGCTGCGAGTTTATTCCAGTAACTGTGTCATTGAGGGTATGTCTTGCCTGGAGCCGGGGAACCGCCTGCAGCATCCCCCAGATTTGCTTTTGGCTGTTTTTTGCAGCGGCGCTGCCCGATCGCCTGTCCCTGCTTCTCCTCTGCCAGGGCAGCACCGCTCTGGTCCAAGCCAGCTCCAGGATTTCCACGTAAGCTGCAGAAGTGCTTAAAGTGCAGTGTAAATCAGGGAGTAACTTCTGATTCAGGAAAGCACTGAGACAGCCTGAAGCCAGCGATGCTCGTGCCGATACGGAGAGGCGAGTGCAGGGACCAGGACCCAGCGCAGCCTCCAAAGATCAAACCCTTTCTGGCCAATTCTGCCCAACCACAGCAAGTTCAATGAACTCAAGCTGGATTTCTATAATTTGTGACTGATTACAGTCCTATTTTATATCTCAGGCTTTGATGACAGTATTTTAATAATAATCTTTCTTCCACGTCCTTGTTATTCTGAGTTCTCCACGTTCTGCCAGTAAATTGCAATGGGATCAGGAGATCTCTTGGCTCAAGCCAAGTTTCCCGCAGCAGACGGGGAGCAAATGTCTGCTGGAGGTCAGGAGCCAGGTCTGGCCTTGCTGGTTTATCTTTATTCAGCTTTGCTGGAGTGTAGCTTTACAAACAGATCTCGTTCTGGTTTTTGCTAGCCAGCGCACAAAGGATCCTCTCCTAAGCAGAATTAATAGAGAGATCATCTCGCACTGTAAACAGAGCCCAGCGTCTCCCTCCTGTGATTGCACTTGACCCTTCTTCTCAGTTGTTTTTTCTTTTTTTCCATTCTCCTTCAGATTTCTGGGCTGAAACACAATCCCAGGGCTGCTGCCTTTATCTCCCTGGTCCTTGAGTGCCTTTCCTCAATCTGCAAGCACCTCGTTAATTTTAGAGCGTGGCTTTGCAGCCCCAGTTGCCAGGCAGCAGCTGTATGTAAGCAGTTGAGAAACAAAAAGGACCTGTTCCAAACTTTAAATACTGAGCAATGTATTTTGCAGCATTGAGGTTTGGGGGTTTTTTTTCCTCCTTTCTTTTTATTTGGTAACCTGCTTCTCTCTTGCAAGAGGCGCACGTAGGACGTTATGCAGGGTGGTTATTTTTGACTGCGCGTTCTCCAATTTAACTCGAGCCTGGTGCTGGTGCGGGGAAGGTGAGCAGGGGACTCCGTTTGATCCAGCTGCTGATTTGAAATTGCTGCCTGACCTCTCAGGTCCCTGCCCTGGGGACTTCTCTCTGAAGCAAGCAGTGACTCCTCTTTGTCAGGCAAAGTCCTAAGGGACTTCCTGATAATATGATCTCCAAAGCGTTTTCTTCCATTGGTAATCCTCCCGGTTTCGTGTCCCCTTGTCCTCAGCCATCCTTGCTCGTGGGTTTGATCCCTCCCCTCCTTTGTGCCCATCTTCCTTCCCAGGACCCTCCAGCACCTCCGCCCTTTCCTCTGCAGGAGGACATCACCTGCTCTCTGGATGTAGCATCCGTGGAGCAATACGAGCTTTGATGACTTCTGAGCTTCAGCCAGAGGGAACAGTCCCTTCTCCCGCAGCAGGGATTTTTGGATGGTGTTTTTCTTGCGTCCTTTACCTTCTGCATTCCTATTGATTTCAGTGGGATTTTCCTTGTGAAGGAAAAGTGTTTCTTTGTGTTCTTTCAATAGCTTTTTCCCGTCTCTCTCTGTTAGAACCAAAGACTTTAAATTAAGTGTCTGTTACATGGCTAGCAAGACACTGTTGGCCGATCCAGATCCCAAAGCTGATCAGTCTTTCTTAAACTCTTCATCCCAGCCTAGAGTAGGATGATTTTTGCATCCCATGTAGCAACCAGGAGGAAGATCCATTGCCCTGTAAGCAATAAATTAAGCTGGTGGGACAACCTATGCCCTCCTGCCACGGATGAAACCTCCCGCAGCCCTGTGGGATGGGACCAGGCACGGCCAAAACCTGCCGAGGAGCGTTGGAAGAGCCACCCCCGAGGAAGGGGAAAGGCAGCGAGGT